TCTATCTCTCTATCTATCTCTCTATCTCTCTTTCTCTCTATCTATCTAATAAAAACATAATTGTGGAATGTGGAAAGGTTTGGGCAACCTACACTGTCAGTACTTAGTGACACCCACTCTGGCAGTTATCATAGCTTACAAACGTTTTTTGTAGCACACTAAAAGTCCATCAAGTATTTGGGATTCCCCCCCCCCCTTCTTCATGCAAAAGGTTTCTAGTTCCGTAATATCCTTGGGGCAATGATTAAATGATATTTGGGGGACTGTGAGGGCCATGCAAAACCTTCAGCTCCTCTCTTGAGGAAGTCTGTGGTGGATTTCAAGTATGCTTAGGATCATTATCCAGCCCTCCTCTTTTCAACTTTAGCTTTTTTACAGATGGAGTGATGTTTCTTCCAGAATTTGCTGGTATTTAGTGGAATCCATTCATCCCCCCACCCGTGCAATGTTTTCTGTGCCACTGGCTGCAACACAACTCCAACGCATGACAGATCTTCCCCCATACTTAACAGTTGGGGATGTGTGCTTTTCATGTCAAAGAGTTCTGTTTTAACTTCATCGATTTCAACAAACATCAGCTTGAGAGGTCCCAAAGTTTATTCGTACTGTATTCATTTAAAGGACCAGTGTGTAGTAGCATCTATAGTGACATCACTGACAACCTCTCTCTTATTTTGGGCTGCCACATCCCTCTTTATCCTGCATGCTAGCGAAGAGACATATCCAACATAAACCTAAACAATGCATCCAGCAGAATACTCTCCATAGCCCTAACCATCACCAAGAAAACTTTTGTTATTTGATAACTGAGAATAAATAAAACAATTTGTATAGGGGCAAGTAAAAAATTGATTTCAGGTCAGAAGATTTCTGATCCACGTATCTGGTCAGGCAAGTAAAAAAAAAAGCCTGGATAGTGTTGCATATCAGAGAACAGAGCAGAGCAGCATGACAATTCATTTTGCACAATCCATATCAGTCAAACCAGTCTAGAGCGAAGAGTGACAAAATAAAAAAACAGTACCGGGTTGAAGAGCTCAGTGGTCAGGCCAAGGTAGTTGTGTAAGGCAAGGAAGGTAACTCTCTGGAGACGCACCATGATTATCTACAGACGAAAAGACATACAAAATAAAGACCGCAAACCAAATCTCAATTAATGTGTTGAATTTGACACCACCAGTTTGGTGTCAGATGCTATCAAATTTAGGAAATTAATTTAATTTAGGATTGTTTAGCCACCCTTCCAAATCTGCCCCTGGGTATTGCAATGCCTGCAGCTCACTTGATTAATCAAATCGTCTTTCTCGGTGCACATACCTGGGTGACCCGGACCAGAGTTTCAGGATATTTCTCAAAGACTGATTGGAAGGCTGCGGCTGGAAGACGCAGGACAGTGGAGGGAACTGCAGCTCTCGCAGAGACTGTTTTGTAAGGCGCTGGATAGCCCTGAAATACAGTAATACAAATTGAAACTTTTTTCACCAACTATTTGAAGACGTTGATTGACCATTTATATTTAGACAATATTTTACCAGGATTTGCAATTTGTAAAAATCTTCATCCTCTACAATGTAAATAATAGCCTTGTCACTTAAACCACATCTAAATGTCTTAGTTTAAAGCCAGTACAAATACATAAGCTTGTCTCATGCAGGACTCCTGCAGGAAGGTCCAATACAGTATAACATAACCCACTCATCTTCCTTTCAAAATGAACTGTGTAGCTTCTTATACTATACTTGTATACTATATACTATAGACTAAGACCAGAAAGCACTTTCTGGACAAATGCTAACTTTACTGTAGACGTTCAGACCAAATATCACCCAGTTTTCAACAAGAAATGAAGGTTGGTGCTTACTGGGAAGGATGTCATGAATAGTAAAAAACCTTCACAATACAGAGATAAATTGCACTACAAATATACAAAGTGTGGACAAAAGTGAATAAAAAGAAGGGCTGATGTCCTGTATGATTGGACCAGTATGATAAGATATAGAATATAGGTCACTCTTCCAGTAAAACCACGTCAATAAAAGCACTCAGCTCTGACTTTATAATGAGCAAAATTAAAGCTGATGTAATGCTATGTATGTGCAATGTGAAAACTAAAGTAAAGTAAAACTGAGGATGAAGACGTACAGTAATGATGTCCAGGATACTGAGCAAACTGTGAACACTGTCTCCTGGTAAAACTTCCTTTACCACAGCATCTGTGCCATCCTGCAGTAAGAAAACATATCTCAGCATGAGAGCAGAACAACAATCACAATGCAGGTAATGCTGAGTGTGAAATATTCTTGGGATCTTATGTGAAGCAGTAGGCATTGTGGTGGACCCTGCCGGTCTTACGCTCTCATGGATGCACAGCTCCAGGCGGCCATCTTGAACCACGTAAATACTGTCATCGGTGTCGCCCGGTCGGAAGAGTGCCTCCCCCTGGTGCAACGGGATCAGCACCATGTGACGACACAGCTCCAGGAAAAGAGGCTTTTCGAAGTGGCCAAGCACCCTGGTTCCAACATACATATACATACGGCATAGTTATATTACTGCTAATGATAATAACCACAGGTCCATTAACAGTCACGGAATGTAACACTATGAACATTCCAGATTAAGGTATTCCCATAAATAAAATGTAATCAGTTAACCTGTATCAAGATGTAACAAATACAATTGTGATTCATAGCTGTACAACAGCTATGTATAGAAACTAACTAATGGTTCTTTGAATGTAAGTAGAATGTATTGAATGTATAACAGCTAATTACAGCTAATACCTGTTCTTAGTAAATGATACCTTAGCTAAACAGTAAGGGGAAATTCTATTTTAAATACTTATCTTAATCTCTGTACTTACCCTCATATTTACTTGTAAATAACCTTATATCTAATGTCATCAGGGACCTAAAAGGACCCTATTGGAATGCTATTTTTCTGCCAAGGGAATTGCATTTTAGTGGCCACAACATGCTCAAAAACTCATGAAACACGGCACAAAATTCACTTGAGGCCAACATCTATGGATTCTATGGGTCTTATAAATGGGCGTGGCAACATGTCACCACAGCGCCCCCTAAACATAGCCCTTGAGGTACGTTTGACCAATATGCATGAAAGTCGTTACGCACATATATCATGACCAGATGTACAAAAAAGCCAGCCATTTTGAATTTAGTGATCTTTTTTTTAGATTTGCTCATGTACTTTAACAAACTTTAACCTAGGGAACTAATTGGATTGACTTCAGATTTAGTCAATGCAATCTAAAGACCTTCACGATTAAAAGTTGAGTAATTTTTTACTTCTTGGTACTGTGGCAGCTGTGGCTCAGAGGTAGAGCGGGTCATCCACTAATCAGAAGGTTGACAGTACATTGAGTAGTCTGAAAGACTAGAAAGGCACTATACAAATGCAGACCATTTACTTTGACCAAACTACACGTTTGATAAGAGTCCCGCTCTGAACACATCTACAAGCCAATATTCAATCATAGTCATAGCGCAACCTACTGGAACCAGGAAGTAAGCCTTGTATGGCAATCATTATTTTATTTACATGAAATTTACATGAAAAGTGTTGTCTACACATAATGTGCCGAAATATAACACAACCTCAGGACGCCCCAATGCGCCCAGGGCATGTTCTTTGCTGCTTGCAGCTTTAATTGTGTGTCCGTAAAAAAAAAAGCCTGCCAACTACAACACTTGGCTGTTCCTTGGAGGGAAATAGTATGGAGTTTAGCTGACTGTTAATCTCAACATAGGCTTACAGAGAGCTGAGGGAGAACAGAACACAGAGTATGGAGAAAGAAGAGGCCTGTGAATCATACAAATCTAGAGTATAATACAAAGACAAGTATCAGATCCTCTCATTTGAGAAGATGGAACTAGAGAATGTTTGGCATCTTTGCTTGGTCAGTTGACTAATCGATTCATCTTTTCAGCACTGACCTTTCACTATACATTCTATATGTCACTGTGGGCCAGCATAGAAACTGCACAGGGTGAAAATAAAGCATGAAGTTTTACTAACCTGACATTTTTCAGCATGTACAGCACCTCGGAGGGCAGATGGGAGTTCTGCACATCAAATTCAGTCAGGTCAGCCTCAAGCAGACAGGGAGGAGGCTCCTTGGGCTGCAGGGTGGGGGGTTCCCTCCGGATACGCAGGATTCTATCTCAGACACAAACATAGAACAGAACATAACTGTTCCTCAGTTATGGTGTTAAATAACAGCCAAAAAGGTATTCTTATAGGACATAATGACATTATGTTACAGTGATGTTGCCCCTTTGATCTTTTGGCAAAATTTAATTGTATCCCATTAAACATCTGTGTAAAAAATTACCAAGTCACCTATTCATTGATCAACCAATTGTGAAATATGGTCATCAATTGTTGAATTATGGCTAAAAACGTGTTTCCATCTCATCTTTTTTTGTGATGTCACAGTGACCTTTGACAACCAAAATCAGTTCTAATCTTTGAGTCCAAGTGGACGTTTGTGCCAAATTTGAAGAAGCTTGAGGCGTTTCTGAGATATCGCGTTCACAAACGGGGACAGATGGACAGACCCTAACCCTAACCCGAAAACATAATGTAACATAGCTGTCGCCGGCACAAAGGCTGATAACACATTCGATGTCAAGATTCTCTCATCTAAATTGTAACTTTTCTGAACTCCTTAAAAACTGATCACTTAAAAGGTGTCTTCTAGAAACCATTATATTTAATAAAAACTTGGAATTGTGATGCACTTTTTCTATGTATTTATATCACAAAAGTTCCTTTAAATAAATAATAATAAATAAATAAATAAATAAATGTATGTCTGTTTATTTTATTGTTTCTAATTGAAATCCTAACGGACTGCTCACGTTAATGATGAATGCTTTAAATATTGTACTTTACTGAAAACGTACTTTGAATTACTCTCAGCTCAAATTCATCATACACAGCAGATCCAGTATTTAGTGGTTTGATAACATCTTTTCCTGTTTCCTGGTATCTCATACCACCTCATCTTCTTTGACCAGATAATCTTAATCAAGGTCCACTTACTTGGACCCTGAGTTAAGATTATATGGCTCCCAAAGTGAAGAATGAACTTTCAACACTTAAAGATCCTCTTCCATCAACACCACATGATTAAAAAAAGGGACTCACTTGCGAGCTATAGACAGGACTTTGGTCCTCTTCCTTCCTCTCTGCCGGGACGCTGAGTTTGAATTAGAAGCAGGGGCTGAGGACAATGTCTGAACCTGCAACAGGAAAGGTTTGTTGATTAGAAATTTGTATTAAAGTGACGATTTACACAAGTGATGTCTTATTTTCTACAAAAAAAAATTGAATAGAATGTATTAAATACAATTATTTAATGTAAATTTTTTTTGCAATTTATTATTTATTAGCTACTCATTGTCCAGATTGCCATGTTTTCTCCTTGTAACTTCTGGTTTTAATTCCGTCATAGAGGACAGCAAAAAGTAAAAATATTTTAACTGTAGATGGTAATGCTGTCTGTTGTTATTGTTGTCGGTATTCCATGCTGACCTCACCTAATTTTACCATCCTGCTCTCATCCACTAACATCTAGTCTGCCATGTGAATGCAGCATAATTATTAAAAAAATACTGAGTGGGATGTTGAAGAAGGCACTGACCTTTCTCATGATCTTTCGGCCGTAGAACATCACCTTGTCTCTTTTCCTGAAGCGATAGTGAGGAACGCAGGCTGCTTCTTCTGAGACACCAAACACCCTCTGTCAGACCATCTGCAGTCTATTGTATGAATAGTTTATGCTCCTCATACTAGCATTGTACTGATGTCAGGCTGATGCTATAAATCCTGTCTGATTAAAACAGCTTTACTGACTACTTGATTTATATTCTCTTGGAAAGCAAGTGGCCACAAGAATTACATACATTATTATAATATTTTCAACTACCTGTACTATAATGACAAAATTATTGATTGATGCAGATTTTTTTTTTCCATAACCAATTTTAACCTAACTCATAAAATGCATGTTGGTTTGAACTGTGAAACTGGTTATGTTGCCTCTGAAACCCTGTAATGATAAAATATTGTACTAATCATCACTCTGACTAAGCTCCTAGCAATCCATAAACACTGTATCAGGGTGTATTTTGCACATGTTTTGATACAAATGTACTGAATGTATGAAACAGAACAGGATGTACAGTGTGCAGGTAACTGACTTGACAGTTTGTATCTTCTGTAAAGAAGAAACACGACAACTCCAACAACAGAAACAACTGTCACAGCTCCAACCAGCACTGCCGTCCACTGGGAGAAAAACAGACAAAACATGACAAACATAGAAATTAGCTCTATTCAGTTCTATTCAAAACATATTATACGTATCTAATATCAGTGCCCTCTCGTTTATTCTACCCATCCACATATCAGGGGTGGCTGTGGCTCAGAGGCAGAGCGGGTCTCCCACTAATCGGAAGGTTGTTGGTTCGAACCCTGGCTCCTTCCGCCACATGTCGAAATATCCTTGAGCAAGATACTGAACCCCAAATTGCTCCTGATGCTGTGCATCAGTGTGTGAATGTGTATGAATGAGTTAGTATCC